TCAGGTGGTGCACCTGCTGGCGGCGGTGACGTCTCCTGATGCTGGGTTCCTCCTTCTTCAGGCTCGGTGACGAGGTACTCCACCGTGAATTGATTTGGATTACGGTCTGCCTCGATCACGTCATTCCACTGCCAGAAGGTGCTTTCGTCGAAGACGACGTCGCGAGACACGTGAGCTCGCCCCCCTACAGGATCATAAAGTCTGTACGCCTTGCTCCCGGGTTCGTAGCCGATGAAGACGACCTTCAGCCCCCTGGGATCGAGCTTGGCGAGATGGGGACGTGTTACCTTCATGTATGCGACGCAGCCGAACACGCGAAAATGATGTACTGTTGGTTTTTTGTTGTACCAGGCCTCATATGGCGTCTTCCCGTCGAGGCTTCGGGTTGGTGACCGATTGAGGAGATAGACAGCCGTCATTACTGCCTCTCCCCAGAATCTCCCAGGTATCCCGGCCGTCACCAACAATGACCTCGCTATCCCGACAATGGTCTGATTTCGGCGCTCTACCACTCCGTTCTGTTGGGGGGAGTAGGGCGCCGTTAGGTGCCGTTGTATGCCGATCTCGTCGCAGTACTTATTGAAACTTGCCGAGGTGAATTCTCCGCCTCGGTCTGTGCGCAGCACTCGCATTTTCTTCTCACATTCGGCCTCCGCTCGCGCTTTAATGCGCTTAACCGCCTCTGCCGCCTCACTTTTCGCTTGCAGTAGAGTCAGCCACATGAAGCGGCTTTTGTCATCGACTAACAGGAGGAAGAGACTCTTACCACCTGGGGTCGCCGGTTTGATGGGCCCACAAATATCGCCGTGTACAAGCTCCAAGGCTCATCGGCTCGGTAGGCTGTTCAAGACGGAAAGGGTGTGCGCCTCTGTTTGTCGATGAGGCACCCGTCGCACAGCTTGTTCACGCCTTTGATTTCTGGCAAGCCGTGCACCAACTCCTTCTTCTGTAGCTTTTCTAGGGCAGGAAAGTTTAAGTGTCCGTACCTTGCGTGCCACCTCCAAGATACCTCTTCGGTCTTGGCCGAGAGGCTAACGGGTTGGTCTATCTCTAACTCCAGGATGTAAA